GTGTGTGTGTGTGTGTTTGTGTGTGTGTGTGTGTGTATGCCATTCTGGAATCAATAAAAATGTGTTTTATTTTATTTTATTCGGATAATAATCCCTCTATCACAAAACCCTAGGTTCTGTGAGATACGATTAGATGAGATGAAATGAGATGAGATGAGATAAGATAGATAAGATGATATAACATGAGATGAGATGAGATGAGATGAGATGAGATGAGATGAGATGAGATGAGGTGAAATGAGATGAGATGAGATGAGATGAGATGAGATGTGATGAGATGAGATGAGATGAGATAAGACGAGGTACCATGATACTTTATTGTCCTGGTGAGGAATTTTTCTCGGCTCTACATAGATGGTAAAAATCCATATTGTATTTGTCGAATTTAGATTACATATCACTCTCATGGAAATTCAATATGAAGAGAAGAATAAGGTGATCATAATACACAAATCACACCAGATGCGTCTTTCAACCACATGTAGGGATTTATCACAGACCTTTAGTCTTATATAGGTATATTCGAATTATATGTATGTTATGTAATCTTAAAAAATCAACAGCGAAACATAATTTTGATATTTATTTTTACAGCAGCCTTATTCTAGATTGCAGGAATTTTTTTGGGGTAACTTTCTATGATTTTGCTCTTAGAGGTACATAACATAAGTTTCTGCCGTTGCGTGATCTTACAAATTGTGTGGAACGGGATTGTGTGTGATGGGTCGTTTATAACACTGTTGATCTTTTTTAAACTTGCGATCTTACATATTTCATCAGTTCTACTAAAATCCCATCCAAAGATGTTGCAGGCTTTCTTTATGATTCAGTCAAATTTTGTTTTGTCTTTCATCTTATAGTTTCCAGCCCAGCAGCAGTTACAAACCAGCATACTCTTTCAAATCATGGAGTGGTTAAAAAGTAGAGGTGGGCAAAATCCGGATAATCCAAAAGGATAACCGGATAATTCTCAATGAAACATTATCCGATTTCAGACTCTTAACTCTCTTTCCTGACCCGTTTGCCGAAGTGGGTGCACCCATTTGTTGAAGTGATGATAGCCCGTTTGTCAAAGTTGTTCTAACCCATTTGCAGAAGCGGTTCATATCACATTATTAGCCGAAGAGGTGCACTAAAATATTATCCTGATTTTGCTGAAGCGACTCATTGCCCAGCTCTATTAAAAAGGGACATAATCTTATTATCAACATGATCATGAAAACTTCTTAATTTCCTTAAAGACAGCTTTCTTTGATTTTTTTTAATGCACAAGAGTAGCGTGGGGATGCCAGTCTAGCTTGTTGTCGATAGTTTCTCCAAGATGTATTTTGTAAGAGTTTACAACCCCTGCTTCATGTGCACTGCATAGTGTCCTCCAACAATGTAATGTGGGTCTTGAATAAAAATAAAATAAAACAAGCTCACGGTAGTTACGACAGCGCAAAAAAGCTTGGTTTTGGAATGAATCACTTTTTCGACGAAATGTGAGGCGTGATGACAAAATTAAATACTTCTCGTAATCCACGAATAGATCTAGAGTTGTTGGCAGTAAATAGACATCTCAAATTTGTAGATTTTAAATTGATGACATTTCCTTTAAGTTAAGCATGTCTTTATGATTTCATATAATACATCGCACAAACCAAATACACACACTTTATTTATTTACCTGTGTCAATAGGACTAAAATCCGAGAATTTACTCATTTTGTCAGCATACCTCACAAAAAATTGCCGGTCGGACGTAGCGTTTTGGTGCACTGCACTGCTAAGCGTACGCGCTACAAGTAATTCATAGGACAACTCTGTACAGTCAAAGATTGTTCATAACAAGATAGTTTATTCAGCCCAAAAAGTGTCCGCGGAAGTCCGCGCATTGGTTCAGATGGCGCTGCAGTCTTTTTCGTTTCTCCAGATCAAGAATAAGAACAGCACAGTTTGTTAGTTTCGCTTTTATTGTTTTTCACACAAGTAAGGTAGGTAACTCTGTTCACAAAGTCCCCACTTTTTCGAACGAAGAGGGCGCCACCGGACTTTGAGGACACTTTTTCAAAAAAAAATTGGTCCCAAGAGAAGAGAGAACTATCTTGTTATGTACAATCTCTGGTACCGTCGAGCCAGGCTTGAATCGCGCCGGTGGGTTTCTTTTATGTATGACGACGCTTCTCAATGATATAGAAGTCTGAATTGTATTGTGTAAGTATATTGTTCTGTGACTTTTTAAACACTGCGTGTTGATCGCGTGTGGTTGGCGGGTGTTCTGGTGTGGTTAGCTTCTTCTTCCCTATCAAACATCTATTGTCATGATCACGCCTCCTTTTTTGTGTTTGTTACTCTCTTGTAACACATCTCCTAATCTTCGGCACTTATATGACCTCATTTTACTGCATGTGCCGTGAAATTCTACTAATAT